ATAGTTCTCTTTCTTCATTGGCTGAGCGATTAGCGAAGCGCATTAGGCCTACTCGACTGACCGGAAAATTTTCTGTCTGTTTGTTTGTTTGTTTGTCTGTCTGTCTGTCCACACGATAACTCGAGAAAGAATTGAGAGAGCGATCTGGGAATTTCAGGGTCGTTTTGTATCATAAAAAGACAGTTTAAGTTCGAAGATGAGCATTCTAGCTCAAAAATTGACTTTTTTAAAAAAAAAAACCACAGGTTGCAAAAGATTTTTTTTTCAAATTTTTTTTATGGGCTCCAAAGGGGTAACTCGTGAAAGTAGAAACCCTGTGCCTGTGGACGAAAATTTTGTCCGTTTTGCTCAATCTTGTACCGTTTCGGCGCTATGGGGCATTTCTTGGCGAAAACAACGTGAAAAAAGAAAAAATGGTCTATAGGGTACCCCTCTAGAGCGCGGAGCGGAACTAAGAAGAACAAAAGCGGATACAGAGAGCGGTAGTGGGGGCGGGCGCGCGGGGGAGCGGTGGGTGGTAGGGGAGCCCGCCACTCCTCCGCGCGCCCGCCCCCACCACCACTCTCTGTATCCGCTTTTGTTCTTCTTAGTTCCGCTGCGCGCTCTAGAGGGATACCCTATTAAACACGAAAAAAAAAAGATTCGCTGAGCCAGCTAATATATTGACTGGTATCTGGACAGACAAGCACATAAACTTCTGTAACCCTGTAACCACTATATTGTCTACTCTATTCAATCATTGGCTGTGCCAGTCAAAGATAAGTTGTATGAAGTAATGATTTGCCTGCATCAGTAAGGTAGACCTCGACTGATTTAGGTAAGGGATGAACTCTTACAGATAATTTTTGACTGGGACAGCCAATGATTGATTAGAGTAGACAATATAGTGGTTACAGAAGTTTATGTGCTTGTTTGTCCAGATACCAGTCAGTATATTAGCTGGCTCAGCGAATCTTTTTTTTTTTCCGTGAATCGTAAAAAAGGCTTCATGTCACAGAATTGTAAAGGGAGTAGTAATACTTAAACCACACATTACGGGTCGAACCACACCTTTCTTTTGGGCTTACGGGTCCCTAGATTATCTAGTATCACTAAAACGTTGAGTTTTACATTACAATCCGTCAAAATTCGAACTTTGAATGAAAACCGTAACCGAACAGTAGAAGTTTCAATCTGTCAAAATTCGAAAGTTTAATAAAAACCGTTACCGAACAGTAGAAGTTTCAATCTGTCAAAATTCTAACTTCTAATGAAAACCGTTACCGAACAGTAGAAGTTTCGTGTCCCTAGTTTTAGAGTAATAAGACCCCGACCGAGGGGATTTCCACTCTCCAAAATCATGACCCGACTACCCCTTATTACCTCTCTTACCTCTATCACCTATGTATTACTATTACCTCTATTACCTCTCTATTACTTCTATTACGTAACCATTACGCGTCTATTACACGATCTAATGGTGAAGTCAGTTTTGTTTTTTCTTGCAAAGATTCGTAGAGTATTACCAATGGCCCCTCTCAAATACGTAATTTTTGCCCCAAATTTTAGGTTTTTATATCTCGTAAACTGTTTGAGACACAGAGCTAAGATTTGGAGTGGGATCATACTTCATGAATACCCTTTATTTTCGAGTCAAAACCCGAAATCGGTTACCAGATTCGAAACTTTTGGTGGATTAGGGAAAGAACTAATCTCATACACTCGGTCAGACTTGTCCACAGCATCGCTTCCAGCTCCCGAGATAGTTCTCTTTCTTCATTGGCTGAGCGATTAGC